CTATACCCTCCGCGTTGTCGTAAAACATAGCTAATGTTAATCAGTGGTAATGTATATTTGTAGTGAAAGAATTTCGAAATTGGTCCCGTAGTTTCGGGGCCTATTCAATGCAAACTAACAATGAAATTTTTATAATATCTAGGATACATAAACACTTGACTTAGTGTTAAGTATATCCAAAAATATAACGAATAAAAGCTTAGTATAATATTTGAGGAGTTGGAAAAGATTTAGACATTATGTCAAAATATTAGGTTCAGCCATTACTTTGGTTCATAAATCATTACAGTAGATATTTTTAATTCAAGGTGTTAAGGTCATACCTAGGTTTAGTTAATTTACTAAAACAGTTTCATATTCATCACATAGATAGATAAAGCCTTCATTCGCTAACATATTTGTCACATGCAGTATTAATCCAAACACATCATTCTTGTTTGTAAACATCGACAAAGGGTAGCCCAAATACATTTCGTTGAGCTTAGAATATCTAATCAAAACTTTGCTACTAACATTTCAACTTATCAAGTAAACGTCTCTACCAGATGCTGCAAATATGCTAAAATTAACCATAAAATATTCAATCTTACTTTGTACATACATATCCATAGATTTAAAACACAGAATATATATTTAATATAACGAAACAAGCGCGACGAGCGTCGGTGGCTCAGTGGTTTGAACACTTGACTTGTAATCTACAGGTCTTGGGTTCGAATCCCGCCATGTACCAATGTGATTTTCGATTTTTCGAATTTTCATATGTACATAATTTACCCGATGTTCTTACGGTGAAGGAAAACATCGTGATGCAACCTGCACCTATCGGCGAAGAAATTCAAATTCAACCAACCCGCACTTGGCCAGCGTGGTTGACTATGGCCTAGTCACCCCGTGTTAGGGTAGGCTCCGAGCCCCTCGGTGGGGACGTGTAGTGAGCTGGTGATGATGAACGAAACAAAAGTATTTAATTTGTAAGGAAAACACTTGTATAAAAGTTAACCTTCCATTGAGTTAATACGCGGGTGAACATTAAATTTGTAAGCCATGACAATTAAAATGATGCGTACAAACATTCTCTCCGCACATTTACGGCGAAACACATTCGCCATAAGAACAAAGGCGTGGAAGTCATAATTATTCCGCCGTAAGTGGAAACATAATGTAAGCTCGAGTTACCTTTTACTCCACGCCGAGGGGAAAATAAGCATTAACAATATTTTTAAATTCTAGAATAGCAAGGAATTTCTCCATTGCCTATATTATAATTTCAAGCTAAGTAAGAATTGGAAGTTATGTTACCAGTTTTTGTATTATTAATAAAGAAATAATGTTATTTCAACGTACTAGACAAAATTTCATTTAAATAAATTTGTACCGAATCACGTCTTTACTTAATTCAGCGACTAATTTGAAATGCTATATTATTTAACTGTTTCGAATTTTAATTTTAGCTTCAGCTTTATAGTTTGAAGAGTAAAACACACTCAAGAGTGAAGATAAAGTTACCGACTGCGATGTACAAACTTCGGAAAGAGATTTCGTGAAACTTTTAAATGTTCAAATGAATATTTCATAGTTTTTTATTTTTACTAAATGTTCTATTTTACCTTGCAGTAAATTATACAGTTTATACTTATAAGAATTAATAATAATCATAATAGTAAACTATTCAAATATTCTGATTAATATTAAATAACAAATATAAAGATATTTCAAACCTCATATAGAATTATATTTTTCTCACAAAGTAGTTTCCTGTTAACCTGTCTTTTATTACAACCATTATAAAGCACAAAATCTAAGTCTATTTTCATTAAACACATCGAAACTAAAGGCAGGTTTACTAACTTAGTTAACAGTTGAAAACTCGACCTCGAAGATCTAATTACGAACGACGCGGAAACGTGTATGCCGATCTTATTTGTTTAACAAAACAACTTTATTTAGACAATAATCAGGGAAGTGACAAGTTAAAACCCTTTCTTAGTATGTCACAAATGTGACAAGGGATAAGCCTGTTGTTGTACACAGCGCAGCAGCACAAGACCAACAAAGACAATCCTAATGGGAGATATTAATAGTGTTTAAGGTACAGAAATGACTTACAAGTAGAAAAGTGTGCTCAAAAAGGGAAATTTAAAAAGTTATTTTGCAGAATCTGCCTAAAAATAAATATCTAAATTAAATTAGGTCCCTAATCCACACATTTGGGTATTAAATAAACATAAACGAATGGAAAATTTATAGCTTAGGTCCCTTTAGTTTATTTAGTCCTACGTAGGTTTAAAGTTTTGTGAATAATTACGTAACTTTTCCCAATTAAAACTGAAAATATTACAAACTGAAGGACTCTGTAGAATAACTTCGCACTTTAAGCTAGTTCACTTTCGAAAATCCTAAAATTCGAAGCGTCCAGTTCGAGTGTTAAAAATCGTTCGTGTTTTAATTCCAAAATAATATTAAGGGGGAAAATAGCATCAGTCGAAGCAATTTATTTCTGAGATATACATAAAAATCAACAAAACATGTTTTTTAAAAAGATCCATAATTATGATTAGTAAATAACACAAAATAAAGAGTTGCGTTTAATTACTTCTTGATCACATTCTTACAAATGTTACAAATGCGAAAGCTTAGATGGATGAATGTTTGTTAGAGTTTGTAGCCTAAACGACTAAAATATTGTTGAAATATGATATAGATGTAGAGGATAGACTGGAGGAATACATAAGCTAGTCTTTTGTTTTTTTTAATTCCACGCGGACGGAGTCGCGGTCAAAAGCTAATAAGCAAAAAGAGGAACAGTGTATGTAAGTTATCTAGAATAGGGTATATTATTTGTCAAATTTTATATAAACGTATGTTGTTATTTCAATTAATTATAGCTTTGAAGTTTGTACTTGTTAACGATTTATAGCTTAAAGTTATAAAACAAAAGCTATAAAAATGGAATAACACGTTATAAGGTATAACAAAAATGATCGTTATAAAACGTCAAACAGACAGCTTTTGAACCGTAATTGGATTGAATAAGTTCAACCAACGAGGTCCTTAAAACTGTTCCATTTTAAATTTTAATTGCGCAAACTTATGTAATTATTTTCAAAACCCCGCAGACCAAAATTAATTAGAAACTTGTTATTGTTAAAGTTACTTGTTTTTATTTAATATGTACATTTAAAGTACTTTTATTTACAAATAACATATTGCGAGGTTTACTTAAGTTCTAGAATTTACAAATTTGCGATAAAATATTCAGACTGGATAATTTATAAAGACTGACCTGTGGTATAATTATCTTTGGGCATTCCAAAGGAGTGCCCTATACACAAAAACAATCGTGCAAACGTTACCAAATTTCAGTATATGAGGCCTCGTAAAGTAGAGAAATTATTGAGCCGCCTACCAGCATAACGGTAACAAGGAAGCAATAGCATTCTCTCTTTACTTAATTCGACTGATTATTTCTATCTGAAAGATACGTAAGCACTTATTTTTGTATAGAGACTGTACTCGTGTGGTACAGATGTTACATCGATGGAAACTTACGGGTCTTTGTTAACTTCTTGTCACCTTCAGTTTCCAAAGCATTCTGAAAGTAGGTCGAAAATAAAAGAGGCCGATTAATACGTGTGTTAAGTAGGTCGAATAGTGAGCTTTTACGTGGATTACTTTTGTCAACATCAGTACTATGCAGTTAACTCAATGTCGTTTAGAAAATAAATAACCAATGAGAAGTACTAAACTGCTTCTGTTTCTATTCTTTTAACATCCTGACTTCAATGTGAAATAGCTAATCAGTAATGAAAAATTAATTCATGTCTTGTAACTTATAATTAAATAGTAATATTCCTTGTACGACAACAAAGAATATTATTTATTTATTCCGACTCGGTCTACTAAGACTATCTAATTTGTACATAAAAACATAATAAGGTACTCGCTAATTTTTCCCTTTAATTAGATTGTCTTAAAACTTAAAGTACCTTTAACTTTAGGAAAAGTAATGATTTCATTAATAAAGATGTTTTGTTATGAAAGTATAATTCTTTACGCAATCACTGAATGTTAGGGCCACCTGCTCACAATTGTGTTCAATGTTCAGAAATCAACCTTATTAAGATTTTGTATTTTAAACTTAAGATAATTAACAAGCAAAGCAAAATTTTAACTGCCGACGTCTTATTAAGTCTTAATTAAAATGGAGCAGTCAATTTCACCGTCTCGCCATTATTAACAGAGGGCTAATATCTGATTTACGCTTTATCCAAATTATATTTTGCCCTTTTGTTTACCTTTAACAGAATAAGCCCGCTTCAACATTCAAGACGTCGAACACAATTACTTTAATGTTGAAATAATTAATATAAAATTAAAACATAATAGGAAACCTGAGCAATATATGAAAATAATTAAAACCTCCTAACACATTTTTTTATATGTGCATTTTATCTAATCTCGTTACCCTGACTCATCTAATATCAAATCAAATCTATGAAGATTTTTTATCACTATGTTATTTGTTATGAACACATTCTACAAGAAACACTCATCAAAGTTATCGATGTCTCATCAACAGAGTACGAATTGAAGGAGAAAACGTGAACCGACAAATTCTCAGATGTTTGCGACGAAATTTGCAAAAGGTATTTCTCTTCATTTTAATCAAACTTTGAACATGAATCCCGTCGAAATGTCTGTAAGCAATGAATCTAGGAAATGAAATCAGAAATATTGAGTCCATAATTGGTATTCCCAGTGTGGGGAAATGTTAATTAACGTAATCTCAGAAGGACGCCGGCATCGAGTTCATTTCAACTTGCGCCACTAATCCCGCTTACGTTCATTCAGGTTTGTTATTTTTTAATCTGAAGTTATAATCATTTATTGTTCAGACTGTTTATCAAAAAAAATATCAAAATATTGGGAACAGTTTGTAGGAAAATATTCGTCTGCAATTTTTAAAAACTATTGCAATTTTTATTTAAATGTCCACAAAGCAGCGATATATGTAAATATAAAATTTCCAAAATTTTAAGTGGTAATATTTCAAAAAGATCGAATCGAATTAATCTTCAAAGAAGAAATACCGTACGTGTTTGTTTGAAGAGTCAAAGAATTCGTTATGGGGTAAGTCTAGAGCTGAAAGTGCAGCTCCGAAGTAATGCCGGGTGAAATGCAGAGTATCACTGGGGCGTAGCAACAGCACCGCTTGTAAGTAATCGCGGATTGTACCAGTCAACTCACCGTTCTCAGATACATACCGCCCGCCTTCTGAAGTTCTTGTAGACTGGAATAGAATTAACTTTCATTTATGCTTTTCACTATTTATTATGTTAAGGAGAAAATTAGTACTGCTCTGTAGGATTGGCGCAACACTAGATTATGGGCATATATGTCCGTCCCTAGCTGACAGCTGTCAAATGTCATTAGACATATTGGAATAGCGCGCCATCTTGGCGGGATCTCTAGCTTTGAGTGTTTATATTAATTGTTTGAAAATTATAAATTTCTGTCTTTAATGATCCATTATCGGAGCGCATATAACAGTCATTTTTAGTGTTATTCCTATATTCATATTATAAGTTTAGCTAATATTAAGAAAGTCATAATCCCGAAATCACAGAACAAGAGTTTTTTCTTTCGCATTTATCAAAATCCGTTTTCTATGAATCTAGTGATTTCAATTTTATAAATATACGGGTAAAGCGATCCTGTCCATCCGACGTGTATTTATTCGAAACAAACAACGCGCGTGTGAAAACCCTGATTTACTTTACCGCTAAATGCAGCGGTCAGACATCAAGCATAGTTAACTAACCATAAACAAACTGAGTCATTAAACATTATTAATGAATATAGTACATTTAACAGAAATCAAAATCAGAAAGATAAAATAACAGAATTTATCTGTATAGTTTCTGCAGTAGAAACCCACGTTTGAACACCAGATAATGTAGCAATTTGAATATTTCTCAGACCAATATTTAGTCTCGTCTATTAGTCTATTCATATAAATCTTATTTTAACTCAGTTCAGAATTACTGAAGTATAGGGCATACCAGTACCCCTTTACTGTAGTAAATTGGATATTGCAGTTAACGTTACCTTAAAGTCTAGGTAATCCGATAACAATTGCAGGTCGGTTCGCCACGTCTCACGCAGCGGCTCGTGCCGTTCTATTTCGTCTTTCTCAGGAACGATCCGTAACAACGGATTTATATGTAGAATGTAACTGTTATTCGCCCACTCCTGGCTTACGATGTAACCTTTTAACATAAAACGGAAAGGGTACTGAATGGTTCTCTTTACGTTTATTATACCTTTACATTTAGTCTATTCAAAAGTACAGATGATTCAATGCAGAGAAATCTTACCCCTAAGTGACAGAACCAAAAGGGTTTGGTGAACGTAGCCGGAGGGTTCAATTATATGCCGTTCAACTTTCACCACAAAGAATGGTTTACCGTTAACAATCGCGTTACTCACTCCAAGGCAAACCTGAAATTATGAAAAACATATTAATTTATTTCCTTACTAATATGTTATTTTAAGTAGAATTGCATCATTTACACATTACAAGACATGAAATAGTATTTGTTAGGTTTATATTTCCAAAGCTAACGTCAACAAAATTTGGTTAAAGCCATCTTGAACTCAAAAACATAACAAACTCGTCCTTTACAATGTTTCTCGCATACGACCGGACATCTACTCTACTACCATACATATTAAGATAAACAAAGCAACACATAATAAGTCATAATATGTATACTTACATAAATACTTTCGCACACAACGCCGCCAATAAGAACGGTATCCGTTTTAATACAGCCTTTGTAACGAGTCAGACCCACATAACGCATAAGCACGATATTAGCGCCTTCCAACAAAAAGTTATGGGCTTCTTCAAAGGTATGATAAAACCGCTTTATTAAATGACGGTCGCCACATATACGAGTGACTTTATTGTAGTAACCGCTCTCGCAAATTGCCATATAATTTCGCTTCTCTTTAAATTTATCTCTACTCTGTATGTACCTAAGGAAATATTTTCCTATTTAAAAAATAACCTTCACTAGCCAGCACATTACTTTGGTTAGTACCTTCGATCTTAAGAATGTATGAACGAAGGTACCCCTCAAAAAAAGTGACATTCGATTAGCGACATCGATAGTAGAATCGATAAAATGCAGAGGAATGAATACGCCACAAGCACGTGATTTCTCGAATGGTTTTGTCAGTTGCATCCATTTTTGACTTTTCTTTAATCGAGTATTACTTTGTCTAAGAGTCTAATTACTTAGCACACATGTAATAATAGAAAAATCAATTCCTGGTACCAATTATTTTTTAAGCTACTATCAAATGTAAAGTTAGATTTTATCAAGAGAACTAATCTGTTAGTTAAATCCGAAAATTCGATATGTTGAATGATAAAAACATGCCAAGATACAATTTTATACAGGCATATTTAATACCTATTCGTAACTAGAACGTCATACTTACTCAGTTCTGTTTTCTTCCAGTGTGTGTAGCTTACAGTCTACGATGCTGACAATTTTTGAGCCTGTCTTCGCAGCTTCTCTAGATGAGTGTGAAACTACCTGAACCAGGAATTTACCTTTGTCCTCTCCGAGCGTCTCAACATTAATAGTTATACCTATAAAAATGGTGAATTAAAAAATAGAATTAATACGATCCCACAATAAATTATATGTCTAGAGGTTTGTTACCTCCAACAGCACTACAACAGTCGAGAGACAATTTTTTTGTCTTTCTCTTGTAACTTGGTATATTTGGTTTTTCACTATCGTCACTCTCGGCTTCTTTTTGTCCTTTCATATCAGTAATTACAAGTTTCTTCTCCTCTACCTCTCTATGCACAATTTTTTCATGTCTTCCATAACCATAACCGAAATATGTGTGTCGTGGATCAACATCATGACACCAGCGGTATCCATGCTTTCCAGCTCTTACTTTCTTTAGTTTCTTGACCTCGCTTTGATCGACACCATCACGCGGTTGTATGTAACAATCACACTCAACTTTTTTCTTACTTTGAGTGTCACATATGCAAGGTGCTGTACATTCACAAATACATGAACATTTACAATTCTCTGGATTTCCACATGTACAAACTCTAGTGGCCGGAAAACATGGACAAACGTTCTCCATGTTTTTAATACAAGAACAATCTTGAGGGTTTTGGCAAATCGAAGAACAAGTAATACCGCTTTTTCCTTCAGTTTTTTGATCACACACACATGTCATTTCCTCTTCTACCCCTGGTTCAGAGGGTTTACGCTTTTGGCAATCACAGGAAGATTTAGTTGTTCTGGTGGTCGATTCCTCAAGTGCGCTTTCGCCTGGTACTTCGGAAGGAACTGAAGAATCATACGTCTTGGGTTTATGTTTACAAATACAAACAGGCCGTGGAAATTTATCTCTGAGACAAATACATGGCTTATCAATTTTATCGCATTTGCAAATTAAACGACATTTGTCATCGATGCAGGTACATATCTCAGCGCTTTTGCAGGAACATTTGACATCTGGTTTTGTTTCATTGCAAACACATATGTTTTGCAATGCACCACACACGCATTCCGGTTTCTCTTCGGCGCCGCAAAGACAGGGTATTTCAACCAAACATTTACATCGACCTTGCTGATCAACCTCACAGCTGCAATTATCTTGGTGGACATCTCTTCGATTAATATGTGGCATACCATCTTTAATGATAAGACTGCTTTTACTATCTCTGGGAGGAACAGGTTTACTACAATCAGGGAAAAAATAGAAATGAAAATCGTTATCTTCGTCGCTAGAGTGTTTAGAAGCCTTCTCTTCAACAATTTCCTGTGGTTGCAAGAGCTTAATATCCTTAACCTTATCGGTTTCTTCACTGACCGAAGTTTCGGACGTGGAACATTCTGAATCCGATAAAATGTCATAAGATTTTCCCTCTGTGTGTCCACAACTTATTATTAGTGTTTCGCCAAAGCATAACTGCTGTTTTAAAGTATCATCTGAAACATTGTGTTTTATTTGAAACCACTCCTACATTTTTGTGATCAACACTTAAAAATCTTTATTTCGTTCGTGCCCTGTTACAGTTACAAATCTTGAGTATTTTTGAAGCGTTACTTACCAATATTGAAAGGAATTTGTTTAGATAATTCTATTAAAGATATCTCGGATTTTAAAGACATTTTTTGGTGTCAAATCTGACTTTTATCTTGATAACAATGACATTACATAAAATTGAAATTTGCTATTTTATTCTTTTTTATGCAACTCAGATATTTTTAAAAGGTTTAACATAAATAGGCTTTTTACTTACCCACGTTACAGATGGTCTTGGGCGGGATAATTAAAACAGTATAAAACGCTAGGTTACTCATATGTACTCAGATATAATCCTTTATGATTTTTGTCTCCTTTAAAAAAATGAGCGCATTATATTTACCAATCTAGATTTGTTTAAACATTGGTAATAAAGCTCTGTGTTAACTGGTATTGAAGGTAGAAACTAGTAAAACGTTTCTGTTAAATCATCGAATAGTTAGATCGGCTATAGAAATACATAGAATCAGTTCAGTGAGCAATCCAATTTCGTGCTAAAGGGGATTTTAAGCCTCTTAGGGGCTGTTACAAACAATACTGTATTTAACGTTCTAACGAACTTTCACTACAATGAGGAAACTAATGAATTCGTTAAGCTAAAATGCCTCAAAACCACTCTATAGATTATAAAAGTGGGTTTTATACTGGCGTAAAATAATTTAACCGGCAAATCGTGGATGCCTCAAGTTTGTACTGTGGCAAAAACACTTCTTTCTGACACTAAAATTATTCAATGTGAAAATAGCAGTCTTTGGATTTTGCCTAGGCAAATTACAAATGAGAGCCACTTCCACGACTTACCGTGGTGATAATAAGTATATTTAATAATATTCCTGCTATTTTAAATGCTTTATTTTTTACACATTACATTTTCTGTACTGTAATGTCACTGCTACTACTTTGTGTAGCTTGTAACATCCTGCGTAAAACGGAACGAGTCTGTCAGAGCAACTTGACAGATGATGTGGCCTAATGTTTGATTCTTGAGAAATTTTATGAATTCCATAGTTTAATACTTTATTAAATAAAATGCAAATATGATCGTTTTCCAATTTTATGTGTTTATGTTACTTGTATCTTTATTTCAATGTAGACTACCAGATAAAGTTTTATGTGTAAATGAAAAATGTAGCGGTAAGTTTTTTGGAAACATGACATTTCTAGTAAGAATAGATTGGGAAATATATGTTAAACATATTTAAATATTTTCAGAGCCCATATCGAAAGCTAAAACACTTCTAACATATAATAGCGGCGACCCAGATCTTATGTCATTTCGAGCTAATTCAGATGCTTTAGTGTATATGAAATCAGCTGGTAGCAATCCCGATTTGTGGTACGCGAAAATTAATGGTAAAACGGGATTCGTAAGCTCGAGGTTTTTAAGAGAATCAAAAATTATTGAAAGAAATCCAACATATTTAGTACCGATTGAGAAAAATGTTAAAGAAGATCTCCAACCAGATAAAGTGCAACAACCACATGAAGTATTTGAAGGGACAACCATTTTTACAACAGAAGCTACAAGTAATCAAGAGGAAAGTATTACAGAACAACCTGTACATGCAACCCCAGAAAATATACTTCCATTAAGTGCAGTTGAAACACAAAGTATTGATAGTGAAAATAATAATGATAACAATAATGACTCAATCCCAGCTGAAAATGATAGTACTGTTTCCGATTCTGTTAATACTGAAACAGTCACAGTTGTAGATAACAATCCAGATCTGCAGACTGATCAAGAAAATTCTGCAAGTAATAATGACAATAAAATAATAGAAAATATAGATCCTAATGTACAACTAAATAGCAATTCTGTAGAAAATATGTTACTGAATTCTGATACTCAAGGTAGTACTGCAGAAGGTGTAGATGTCAGTAATGAAATAACTACAGAAACTATTGATACTGTTAATATAGAGACCGAAGAAAACCCTGAATCTGCTAACATAAGCACAGAAATACCTGAAATAGTTCCATCAAGTCAGGAGCCTGAAGCTCCGAGTACAAGCAGTCCATCAAATAATGCTAACATAGAGCAAGCAGAACAAAATTATGATAATTTCAGTTCAGAAACGTTGAATACCGTTACTGAAAATTTCCCCTCGCAAGAACATGAAAGAGAGTCAAATGAAAACATATTAACTGATGCCAATACTGAAATACCAGTAGAAGATATTCCACAAACTTTACCTTCGAAAGATATACCAGAACACATTGAACAAAACATCCCTTCTGCAAATACCGAAAACATAGAAATTAACTCACCAGAAACTAAAGAAGATAATCTGCCGTTAGACAGTCACATTGAATCAACCGAGAAGCCTCCTGAAACTGAAATTCCTTCTAACATAGATAACTTTAATAATGTTCCTCAACAAGATATTCTGAATAATCAACAATATGCACAACCTTCTATACCATCAAATTTAGGTACAATACCTGCTGCCACAATTGAAGCTATTCATACATCAGATACTGCAGAAGTTGATTACACAACCCCACCAAATATTCCAACTACAGTAGAAACAACTGAACAAACTAATATTCCAACCGATGAAGTTATATCAACTTCTTCATCGGAGAATTCAGATAGTACCACAGAATCAAATACACCTCCAACTGAAAGTGCACCTCCAATTACAATTGAAGATCTGTACTCAATGTCAACTGAAAGTCCAGAACTAAATAATGACAATGCTGAAAGTATCATATCAGATATGTACTCAACAGTAGCAAGTTTATGGCCAACAACAACCGAGACTCCTCCACATTATGAAAGCTTATTTAATCCAGAAAATCCTCAACCGGAGACAGAAAAGGAGTTTTCTATAATGAAATACATAATTACTACTTATAATAATGTTATGGGGATTAATGAACAAACAAAGGCGATATTTGCTACTGCAGGTATGTTTTGTTATAGAATTCCAATGTCATAGAACTTGTTTTGTCCCTTTCTCTTTCTTTAAAACAACAGAAATTACAATATATTAATGCAGTTCAATTCTACAATTATATTAAGCAAATAAGTATAAGCATGGTTAAAATCAATAGATATGAGAGATTGTTTTACATATTTTAGTTGCTGATAATTTATTTATTGTCTATAATCCATTGCATAACATTTTACAGCCTTACAATATTAGTACAAATTTTGCTTATACTCAGTTTATTCCTAAGTTTAACTTTATACCATATTTATTTGTAAGACTGTAAATGTTTTAATTGATGATATATATATGTCTATTTTCAATAAGTCAGTCATTACAGTTTTATATAGGTAAACTTATTTAAATATGTTTGTTTAAAGTTGTAATTTCAATAAGTTAAATTACTGTACTATTGAAATAAAAAAGAACAAATCCAGATCAGATTTATTTTTTTAAGTTAAAATTTAATTTTATCATATGTAAAATTTGTTTACAGGTGAAACATGTTATACCGATGAATATTGTGATGGTGAAAGTTTCAGTCAGAAACACAGATTGTTAACATTCCTTTTAACTACCGCTGGCGCTGTCCTCTTATTTACTCTAGGATTTTATTATATTGAGAATAAAAGGCAAGATGGAAAACTTATTGGTACAATTAATTCACTACAAAGAGATCTCTTATTTAGCACAAAGGTAAATAAAGAAATATATCTAATTACCAGATTCAACAAATAATCCATAAGAGATTAATTTTTAAAATTTCATCCTCTGAAGAATTGTCAAATTATTCAAGTAGGGTTTGTATCCAAAATAATTATACCCTAAGATTAATGGCGTGAAAATATATAGCCTAAAGCGTGACGTAAGTGTAGGGCTTTTTATTAAAAAAATAACTATTCAAAAATATGCTGTGATTGCTGACATCTTAGGCAACAAAGAAATGTGTGTTTACGCTTCATTATAATAGTATAGAAGTATAGATTATTTATTTTCATAATAAAACAAAAATACAATTATATAGTTAATCTATTTGTTCCACAAATATTTTCACAGAGTAATGTATACTATTTTTAATAATAGATTTTTAATTATGAAAGCCAGCGTTTAATATAAAAGTTTTTAATTACAGGAGTGCGAGATCCTTAAAGAGGAACTTGCTACTACAAAGAATAAGTTAACTGGTATCGAAGACAATTCCTTCGGTATGGACGATATGGTGAAATCATTAAAAGAAGAGATTAATGAACTGAAGGCACAAAACGATAGATTACGAAATTCTTTAGACGACAATGAGAAACTGCTTCGAGTGTCGGAGAATACTGCCGGAGAGTTACAGAATACTTTGGGTGAAGTTGAAAATACTTTAAGTGAGCTTTTAGCTGAGAGAGATCATGCTGAAGAACAAATTACAGAGCTAAATGGTAAGTCTAGATAAAGATAATAATTAAGTTTTTTTTTTCAAGAAACATTAAAACCTCCATAGATTGGGGTAGACATTGAAGATGATTAAAACAATGGATTGATGTTTTTTGATAATGGTAACTATATTAAAAACCTGTTTAGTTTCCGATTCTATGGAAAAATTACTCAACTAAACCAAGAAACCAATAAATCTGTATTTTTCCATTTTATTTTTTAATATATTCATATGTATTACTTTACAGGAAAGATTCAAGCATTTGAAGAAGAATTAATATCAGTGAGTAGAGAAAGGGACAATTTCCAATTAAAATTTGTCTCAGCTGAAACATCACTTGAAGAATACAAAAAACAAAAGAAACAGTTTGAAGAAATGAATAAGAAATTGTCAGATGCTAACAACACTATTGAATTACAGAATCATGAAATTGAAGCTCTCAAGGTAATTATTATTTCATATATTTAAATAAATAAAATTCATTGACAAATTCTATATTGCTACATTTTTTATTGAAATCACTTGTGAAAAGAAACAAGTATACTTAACATGTTCTATATCAAAAAGTGTTGAAGTCTTCAACCAAATGTTAAAAACTAAAGTTTCTAAACACCTATAAAATACAGCTATATTTTAAGTATATTTTTCTAAATTTCAGGATGCTATAAAAGAGCTTAAGAGTGGAACATCTTCAGACGTGGACGCTGCCACATTGATAGACCACACAGAGATAAAAGCAAAGTTATCTAAAGCATTGGAGGAAAGACAGTCATACTTGAGTAAATATGAGGTAATTTTGTTCAATGAAAAATGTAATTCAAATTAGTGTTTTCAAAAATGTGTTTCTAAACTATTATTCTTATAAGAATAATTTAAAAACAACTTCAACTCCATACACACAAATGTCTATATTTTGATACATCCTTAGTAAACTGTCATATGTTTGAAATGCAAATTGTGCAAGACAATACGATATAGGATATTGTGGCACCTTTTTGACATTGACAGGATGGTGACTAAAGTTTTTTTTTTTGACAGGATTGAACTAAAGTTAACCTCTTTCTAAAGTTACTTACAAATTCACCAAGAAATTAGTATTTATCAAGTTAAATTAAAAATTTACAAGGTGGAAATTGCTAAATGTTGGCTTAAAATAGTCTACATAGGAGCTATCAAGTTTTTTTTTATTTTTGTTGTGACATATTTAGATTTAAAGAATAACTATAAGAAACATTTTCTTCCAGATAGAACATAATGAGAGGGTTCGTCTTGCAGAGGAGTTGAAGACGACTCAGGAGTCTTACAGCACATCCAGTCAGCAAGCTTCTGAGGCCCTCACCAGGCTGGAGGTGCTCGGCAAATACTTCCAGGAGCGGGAAAGTGAATTAATGAAGTAAGAACAATAACAACATAGACCCTATCTTAGTGTTAATTAGGTTGACAAGCCTATATTAGTGACTCCCTTAGTACAATTGTGTGTTTCATTCTCCACTAGCTTTCACCCGCGACTCCGTTTACGTGGAATAAAAAATACAAAAGTGAGTAGCCTGTGTTCTTCCAGACTATCCTCTACATCTGTACCAAATTTGATCGAAATCAGTTTAACCGTTTAGGCAATACAGTCTAACAAACATCCAGCCATCTAAACTTTCACATTTATAATAATAGTGTACTGTGAATTGTTTACAGGGAATTAAGTGCCAAAGAATCATTATGGTTGAGCAAACAAGGCGAGTCCGCAAGCACCGTGGAGAAAATTGAACTTCTTCAACAGGAGTTACAAAGGTTTAAGTAAGTAAATAAACTTGTACATACATATAGGTAGTAAATATTATGATTTAAGATCACTGTCATTTTCTCATAGAACATAGGCCATTTTTTTTAATTCCACGCGGACGGAGTCTCGGGTAAAAGCTTTCTTCTTAAAGTGCCATATTCTTTCGAAGTTCGTCGATCATAAGGGTAAAAGCTAGTAACAGATAAAATACTTATTAGAGAGAAATGCGACGCGTTAGACATTTGGTATATTCGTACAACATACTTTAGCAGAACAAATGGTCTTTTTCCTTTTTCAATTCTTCGCGGTCGGAGTCGCGGGCAGGCTAGTAACAGATATAATACTTACCAGAGAGAGATGCGACGCGCTGACGCTGGAGTTGGCGGAGGCGGAGTCGA